AATATGGATTATTTTTAGTGTTACTTTTTATTTAAAATAAATTTTCTACATAATTATTCTAAAAATTTTAAATATTCTTATATTTATAAAAAATCGCTGTTTTGATATATTATAACTATTATTTGTCAAAAAAGCATCATACAAGATAACATTTATGCAGTCCATTGTTTTGTTTTTCATCACATACGAAGTTCATTTACTGAAATCTAAGTTCGATTATAATGCTTTTTCTTAATAAAAAAATAGTGACCTCCACTAAAGTTTATGCAAGGACCATGGTATATTAACAAATTTTTTAAGCAATTTTTTAATAATTGACTATATATGTTATTATTTTATTAGTTAGTATATTTAAAACGGATTAATCATAAACTACCACGTACACAATTCTAATGAAAATGTTTAAACTTTTTGACACAAGGATGAAAGTTGTGTTTAAGTGAAAAATATTGATAATAGTGGGTAAATATAGTACACGTACTCACTCTTGAGTTGTTTTCAAAGATAGACCCAAATATATAGATGGATGAGTTTGGGTGAATATGGAAAATTTATTTCTTTGTCTACACAAGTGTAATTAATGTTATATGTAACAATTTTTCTCCAGTTATTATCCTCTTCAAAATTATATTTGTGACATTAATTCTGATATTATTGTTAGATTAAAAATTTGTTATTACAAGTTAGAAAATTAAAAATTTGTTATTAACAATTCTGTATTACAACTGATTTTAAATAACTAACTCTTCTTATGTGACTCATGAACACAAAACATAAAATTTCTTTACCTCTAAGTACTTTTAATCACATGGAAAACACTATCTGTATAAAGAAGCTCAGATCAACTATATGATCATATCTATACAATTTTAATTGAACAAAAGTTTATCAATAGCTTGGAGACGAGACATGCAAATCTCAAACCTCACACATACAATATGTAAACCAAAAAGACTTTAAAAATAATAAAAGATGAAACTCCCACTTAGTTTTACCAAATTGTCATCTCTAATGTCTACTCGCATTCATCTTACCAAGTTGTCATCCCATGATGAACAAGATTAACCATCGAGATAATTAGAAATGACAATTCAAAATTATTTAGAATTTAATTTCATATATTTGTAATTTTTTAAAACTTATATTTCGATGCAACTCAATTAAATTTGATTTTTTTAGAAAATCATATTTATTTACATTTATATTTTAGTATGCAATTTTATTTAAATTGCACTTTAATTTTTTTTTATCTGACTTTGTATTTTAAACACTCGTTTCTGAATAAATTTATTTTAAATTAAAAAAAAATCCTATTACCCATAAATACCTTCCAGTATAAAAATAAGTTAATGTATATATACATTTAACTAAGTTGATACTGCAAATTACATCAACCATTTGTCATCCTATTAAAAATTATTAAAATAAATAAACGAAGAAAAAGCTCTAACAAACTATGCTAAAATAAATGTGTTGACTCAATATTTAAAAAATTAGTTTTGTTATTTTACATTTTTTTATCTTCATTATACTTTTTTATATTAATTTCATGTTCTAACTTCAATAACTTTCTTTTATCTTAATCCGACTTTAGGCTAAACTAATTTAAGTAGTTTAGTCCAGCTTGATAGCTCTATAACTTGAAATGTTCATATAGCTACTAATTATTCTGCCAAATTGTTAAAGATGGATTCTGAGGACCCATCCCTCATGTAAAAAATTTGCTATATAGGTGTTATGATTATCAAGATATCAATTTGTCTTCTTTCAATTTTGTTTAGACATTTTATGACGCAATTAATATAAGAGATTTGAAGAACGTAATGATTGGAGATTCTATTTGTTATAGAATAATTAAATATTTTTCATTGTCGTAGTTGAATAGCTAATGTACTTGTACTGATTCTATTCGTTGTATTAAGGTAATTGCCATGATCACAAAAATTTATACCAGTAGGAATTAAAAATGTTTTTTAAGACTGTATTTGTATTGGAGGATTTCCTGTTTATAAAAATGGAAGAGGACAAATGTATTCACTTATAAATTTATGCACTTTTATTTTCACATCTTTTAAACAACACAAATTTCAGAACTAAATCTATTCAAATTCTTTCATTCATTCTTTCTCAAATTCTTATTCTCAAAGAAACACATTCTAATATTCTTTTTGAGATACTAAAAACAATTTATTTTAATAAAGTATTTATATTATCTTTTAATATAATCTTATTTATGTATATACAATTTGTTACACACACATGTGTGTGCGTGTGTGTGAAATTATATATACATAAATAAGATGCATTTACATTATTTTTATCTGCTTAATTACCTTGAATGAAACTCATTTCATGTTAGAGATATGGATACTACTTCATTCAATCTTATGTAATGTAATACATCTCTAACATAATATAAAACAAGAAAAATAATTAATTTGATTAATTTTTTTTAAAATATTTTAACAAATATATCAAATTCATTTCTATTATTTTCACGGCACTATTCATTAATGTCAAATATAAATAGTTATTATATTAATAAAGATAAGTTTAAAGAAACACCATTTCTTTTCTGAAATGCACCACAGAAGACAATAGTGTATTTAAAAGCCGTGTCAACAAAGTAAACCTAGCAAAATTTAATAAAGTGAATTTCAAACAACCTTTAGTTAATATAATAACTATTTTTATTTTGATCCTCTTAAGAAAAAAAAACACAAATCACGTATTATAATGTTAAAAGTATTTCAGCTTAAAATTTAGTAAAGGAAAGAGAACTACAAAACTTAAACATTGGGACATAAAATGCGTAGATTTGAAACAAATCCCAGGAATCCTGGGACCACTGTATTTCACTCATGGTCTCTTAGATGCAGAATCACAACTGGACAATTGAGACCAGCAAGCAACCACACTAGTTTCACTCCACAGTTGACCTTCCAGAAGTGCTAATTTGAATCCCCAAGTACATGGAATTAAAGGATATAAATTTAACATATTCACAAAGCCCCCATGCTGGACTTGGACTCTTCTAGTATAGACATTTTTTCTGTTTTTTATTTCTATCAGAAAATTTCAATTTTTAAACAAATATGTAGATAACATGCACAAACATGGCTAACTTCTCCACACCGTTTCAAATCTCAAACATGGTATAGCTTTATGATCTGGTCTATCTTACCTCGACACACAGGGCAACCCCATTTCTTTGATTTCACCTCGTTCAAGCAAGACATGCATCCGGCAACATGACCACAGGGAATGCACGCCCCTTCTGCTGGAGCATCTAAACATATCACACATGATGAGCCACTTCCACTTGCAGTTTTTCCTTCTCCATTAGGAAGCTTCTCCACATCTGAAGATGCCATATCAACAGGGCTTAAATCAATTGATGGATACTGAATTGGGCCATCTGTTGGAATATCACCCACGATTGGTGGAGCCGATGGATTGAAATCCAATTCACTAGCATTAACATGACTTTGGTGGTGATCACCATTGCCACCAGTTTTAGTTTCTTGCACCAACTCATTTTCACTTGTATTTGAATTTGGTGTGCCAAGAAAACCATGATTGCCTGTATTCACTGCAGTGCTTGAAGAGCTTGCGTCAGAGTTTGGTTGTGTATGAGGAAAGGATGGCCTCTCCTGGATGGCAGACTGAAGGGATGCATTGATGGCCATAGCTAACTCTGTGTCTTCTGCAGCTGGTGGCGCTGTGGGTGGACCTGTAGGCGCATTGTTTTGCAAGAATACCGGACTTGCCTGGAAGATCGGAAGAATAATGCAACACTCAATGAGAAAGCAAGTCATGTATCAAAATTCAAAACTTATCTGCAAACTTTCGTGAACCTTTTTGGAGTTACAAATGAACTAAGGTGAGAGAAAAATCAAAATTTCTTGTAAAGATAAAAAAGAACAAATAGAAATTGGTCCAAAAGAAAAACGTCTGTCAATAGATAAAAAGGAAATAAAAAATGAAAATTGCTGTAATAATATATGCTACGAATGCTACGAAGATTCGAATTTATATGATAAGGGAATGTTTACAGGGAACCATTCTGAATAAACGAAAGCAAAGAATGTTTGCACCATGCACAATGTTTTGGTTCTCAGGAAAATAACAAAATAGATCAATCTTCCAAACTTATTTACATTATAGTATTAATATTTGATAGATGTCAGAAATAAAATAACGTTGTGGTTTTCAATGAGAAAAGTATCCATCTTTTAGTATCACATTTATAGAGATCAAATGCTGGGTGTGAATCTTTTAGTATATCCATGGTTGTTAATCATATTAAAGAGGAGAGGAGCCCAAGAAAGACATTATTTAAGCTGTTAAAAGGGATCTCATGGTGACTATATAGAAGATTTAATCATTTAAACAAGTCTAATGAGCTTGTGTAATTTATGCAGGAAACGTCACCTAGTAGGATAAAACTTTATCATGGTTGTCGTCAAACAAAATTCATCCAATTACCCTCTAATTTAAATAATTATTAGCAATGACAAAACAAACTATTTTGAGAGAAAATGCAATTTACATTGTCTCTTTAACAATCATAGGGAGAAATTAAGCTATTTGACAGATTAAAAGTTATCCTTAAACCAAAAA